ATTCACCTGTGGCTAGACTGACAACCATTCGAGTGTTACTTGCTTTGACTGCCTCGCATGGTCTTCTTGTTCATCAGATGGACGTTAAGACGGCTTTCCTTAACGGAGAGCTAGACGAGAAAATTTACATGCAACAGCCGGATGGCTTTGTAGTAAATGGCCAGGAAGGAAAGGTGTGTAAGCTAGTGAAATCTTTGTATGGCCTGAAACAAGCGCCTAAGCAATGGCATGAGAAGTTCAACACTACTCTGACATCTGCTGGCTTTGTTGTGAATGAAGCTGACAAATGTGTATACTATCGCTATGGTGGGGGCGAAGGAGTTATACTGTGTCTGTATGTCGATGGCATACTGATATTTGGGACCCACCTCAAGGTCATTGAGGAGGTCAAGTCTTTTCTATCTCACAACTTTGAGATGAAGGACCTGGGTGTGGCTGATGTTATCCTGAACATCAAGCTACTGAGAAATTCTGAGGGTGGAATTACACTTTTGCAATCCCACTATGTTGAGAAGATTTTGAGCCGTTTTGGATATTCAGACTGCAAACCTTCTGCAACACCATATGATCCTAGCGTGCGGATTCGAAAGTTCGAAGGCACGACTGTAGATCAATTGAGATATTCTCAAGTGGTTGGTTCACTGATGTACCTAACATGTGCTACTCGTTCTGACATCTCGTTTGCTGTGTGCAAACTGAGCCGGTTTGTTTCCAATCCGGGAGATGTGCATTGGCATGCTGTTCAGCGAGTGATGCGTTATTTGTAAGATACTATGAACTATGGAATTCACTATTCTGGGTACCCGACAATACTTAAGGGGTATAGTGATTCGAGTTGGATATCTGATGCTGATGAGATGAAAGCCACAAGTGAACATGTCTTCACACTTGGTGGTGGTGATGTTTCTTGGAAGTCTTGCAAGCAGACGATCTTAACCAGATCGACTATGGAAGCAGAACTCACAACATTAGATACATCATGCGTTGAAGCAGAATGACTTCGAGAGCTTTTGATGGATTTGCCGGTGGTTGATAAACCAGTGTCGGCTGTCCTTATGAACTGTGACAATCAAACAGTGATTGCCAAGGCTAAGAGTTCAAAGGACAACATGAAATTCACAAAGCACATAAGAATAAGATTGAAATCTGTCAGAAAATCAAGAAACTCCGGAGTAATAGTGTTGGATTACATCCAGACGGCTAAGAATCTGGCAGACCCTTTTACGAAAGGGCTATCATGGATTGTGATAGAAAATGCATCAAGGAAGATGGGTATGAGACTCACGTAAGTTGCCATGGGGGTAACCCAACCTATGTGATCGGAGATCCCATGAATTAGGACCTGGGAAAACAATCCAGCGGTCAACTGAGGAGAGTATCCTTAATTAACCCACTCCGTTGGAGATGCACAATACTCTCAATTTTGTAAGGCAGGCTGACTTTTGTCTTAATGTGTTCCAAAGTTTGTGTAAACAAGATGCTAACCTACAGAATATTCTTTGGAGGAACACACCCATGTGAGCCCGACTGCTGGTCACAGTCTATGAGATTGGGCAATCTCTAGTAAGCTCATGAGTATGACTAATAGGCTCCACCCGTGGGGTTTAGCCTTCAGCAGTCATGTATCAGCTGACAGTAGGCGAAACTTCTGCACGCCAAACTGACAATTCAAGGCATAGTCCATTGTTCAGTTCTGAAGAAGTCTAATCCTGTTGCTCTAGATGGAAGTTCAACTTAACAGTCTCCACTGAAAATTCTGGTATATCAAATATTGTTTGAAACAGTTGACAAACTTATGTGCCTCGAGATCTGGTGGGGGATTGTTAGATTATGGATGGGCTTAGGCCCATATAAGACACTAATCACTGGTTAATCTTGCGGCCCATGTATGAGATGGCAGGTGGTGGGAAGTTTAGTCCCACCTTACTAGTTGAGGAGAGTTGAGACCCCTTTATAAGGGCTGCTCTACCACTTGCCATTGGGAGCTTGGGAAGAGGAGTGGTACACGCGCGCTCCTCCTCCTCCGTCGCCCGCCTCGCCACGCCTCGTCACAACGCGCGCGCGCCGCGGGTTGCTGGTTGCGAGTTGCGGGAATGAACCGAGTCGAAGCTTATTTTTGCCGCTCAGAAATGAATTAATTAATCGGGGATTAATTAACAAGTCGCTAACATGTGGGCCACTGTTCAAGACGTTGAACTGTGGACTGACTTGCGTTGCCGGGATTCATCGACTCCCTTGCCGGGGGTGCGACCCTTGCCGGGACCCGCGTATTTGTCGACTCCCTTGCTGGGAGTGGGCCGACTCGGTCGTGGGCCTCGACAAGGCCCATGACTTTCTTCCTTACAGACTATATAAGAAGGCTCTGGTCAGTGAAGTAACTTAGTTCACTTCACTCACTCCCTCTCGCGTGACCTAGCCGTCATCTACTACTCTGTGCTGCCTCCGACGATCCCATCCCGACGACCGCGTGCACGGCTGGTCGGGAGAGCAGGTGCTTCCAAAACCCTGTCGTTTGAGATCCTGCCCGGAAGAACGGCAATAAGGTTTTTGAGGAGCGTCTCGACGCGACTGCTCTCGATCCGTCCCCAACTCTGTTCGCCTCTGTTTTCACTACTTCCTCTGCATCGACACCATGGCCGACGACGCCGCCGCTAAGAAGAAGGCCACGGACGACGCCGAGGCTGCTGCAGCCGCCGCGTTGGCTGGCCAACCGGAGGGTATGATCTGTTCATCTCTCGTTTACTCGTACTTATGCTAGCCGTATATGTGCTGCTTATAGAAGGTTCGATTCTATGTTCTGCACGCGCTAGTATGCTTAGGTATCGCTATGAGATGCATACATTTTATGCCATATTTACTGTTTACTCATGGATAAGTCTAATCGAAAAAGTGCTAATATTTTAACAGCGTCCCGGCCACGACCATGACGACGATGATGTCGAGGGTCTGGCTGCTGCGGGGTATGCCGGAACCTAGCTGCGACTGCGATCTGGTGGTGAGAAGAGATGGGGAAGCGCAAGTCAATGAGCTCCAAGATGGCTCAGCGGAAGAGGCCGGCGCCCAAGCTGGACACGGCCTTCTGCAACCACCCCGGCGGCGTGTCCTGCGCCGTCGACCTCAAGTTCTACGTCGCCACCGCCGTCTGCTACGTCTACGAGGAGGCCTACCACACCACGGCGCACCACCTTACCGAGCCCGTCGACGTCTACCACGACTGGATCGACGCCTGCGAGAAGGCCAACCAAGACGCCGACTACTTCAAACCACAGCGGCGGGTCGGCAGCGACGACGACCACGACAGCGATGCCTGATCGATCAATCGATCGTGTCCGGTGGAGCTGGTTTCAGATTTCTAGCTAGACGATGCTATGCTATGCTGAGCTTGCCTAGTTTGATGTTGGGTTCGTCTTAGTCCCTGGAGTTGTGGCAGTTTTAGCTGACATTAGATGAATGTAAGGCTGTTGCCCCGTAGACCTGTTGCTCAAAATTTTAAATAGCGCGCTAAGCCTTTTAGCGGCGGACCTCTTCTAAATGTTATAGCGTGCTATAGCGGAGCTATAGCGAGCTATTTAAAATGTTTGTTCAAGTGTTTGAACAAAAGACTCTTAGCGCGGGACCTTTTCTAAACGCTATAGCGTGCTATAGCGGAGTTATAGCGGGCTATTTAAAACCATGGTTGCTACGCAAGGTGCAAGTGCAACTTCTGAACTTCTGATCTTGTCCGATCTATGAACTGAATCTGTGACATGTTTCGTTGTTGGAGTGGAATGGGAGGATGGCTGAATTTGTCTTATGAGCAAGATCATGATAAAACTACTACGTACTAGAGTAGCTTTTAATCACAACTCATGAGAAAACTTGCTTTAGTGTCCGGTCGACCTGGTTTCAGATTTCTAGCTAGACGATGCTATGCTATGCTAAGCGTGCCTAGTTTGATGTTGGGTTCGTCTTTGTCCCTGTAGTTGTGGTCCTTGTGGACCTGTTGCTACGCAAGGTGCAAGTGCAACTGATGAGTTCTGTACTTCTGATCTTGTCCGATGGATCTAGGTGGCTTTCATGGATCGATCGAAACGACCTCAACCCAATGTTGCGTAGTTTTGATATTTGATGATGGTGTCTCAAGTTTCAGCTGTTTGGCTGAAATTGTATTGATTGGAGAATCTAGTCCTGTGCCTCTTTTGCTGCGCGATGTGTAATTGATGAGTTCTGATCATCAGCCAATCGCCCAAATGTGCCCAATCTTGTATAAGACGATCATGTACTGGAATGGGAGGATAGTTGAATTTGTCTTGTGAGTTGAGAATTGAGATTATGAGAAAACTACTACTAGCTACTCCAGCCTTTAATCACAACTCACGAGACAACAGTGCAAGAAAAAAAACAATCACATCGTTTAAGAAAAAAGACGCTCTGCAAGTTCTGTCCAACAGTAGCTATGCAACCATTGCAACAGTTACCAAAATTGAACACTGATCTACATCACGATGCAGACCTGAAATCTCTAACCGTTCCTAGTACTCCATGCCTAAAGTACATAGACAAGCAATGGAAAACAAAGAGACTTTTCCAACAACCTCTTAAACTGAAAAACCGACCTGGCCGAGATCTCACACGGTTACTCAACCATTGCAACTGATGTGAATTCATATGCAAATGATGTTTTAACATCTACCTGGCATCTCAAACCATCCGTTCTCCAAAAGACCAAAAATTTCTACAACCCGAGCACCTTCCAATCGCCCTGTTTTGGGTCTGGAGTTGGCTACTACCTTACACTAGATCCCTAAAGTCCACCACATATAAAGGGAAACCACATGACACTGTATGATTAACTCTATGTAGGACGGATTAGAAGTTGTATATATGTAACCATGCAAATATTAACATATTTACATTTGTCGGGACTGAATGGGGAGCAAGGAAGTGGTAGCGCATTTGTTGCCTCTACTGCACATATGCATGTCACTTCGTGCCAAGAATGAAGTACACCACCCACAAGCTTAACGGCGCCACTCTTCCAAGGTTGGTGTTTCCACGCCGATGGTCTTCATATCTCTGATATTTGCTGCGAAACATAAAAGTAGCTGCCTTAAGTCACCAATTATACTAAATTATAGGAAACAGATTAAATGGAATCAACAAAATATTCACTCTCTCAACTATCGAAGATGGCAACATTGCATTCAGCAACATGGGTCATAGCTATAGTTGTGTTCTTTACAAAGTAACTTGTAACTTTCGTACTGGGTGATCAAACTGCCCCTTTATAAGCATTCTACCACATGCATTTCCAAACCGTGGGTGCCACATGATTTACATATGCTTGTTGGTGTAATAAAGCCAGGTAATAAATCCATGATGACCATGAATAGGGTTGCAGCACGAGTTCGATTTCTTCAAAATTCAATAATTTTACATGCTGTATAGGGAGTGCTCTTTTGCATGTCCTTCAATTGATATGTTTATATGACCACGTAACAGCAGAAAAGAAAGGAATACAAGGTTTGATGATGTATAAATCCATCATTCAGTTAGCAGTAAATCCCAGGAATCTAAGGCAGCAAACAAAAACTTTATGAGCTGTGAAAGAGAAAAGCTCTCCAGTCACCAAAATGAGCTGTAGATAATAATTTCTAAAAGAATTTTGCTACCCGTGTAACTTATTTTGAACAAAGCATATCATTCGTTGGTGATCAAAATGTCCCTTGCATGTTCAAACTAAGATCATGCAGTTTATAACCATGTGTGCCACATGATGCATACACGCATGGTGTAATCAGGACAAGGGTCATGAATTTGGATGCAGCATGAGTAAAACTCCTTATTTTTAAATTTCTAATGTTTTTATGTGGAAACGGAATATTCAGCTTACATTTCTAGAAATAACTCAAAATTTTCTTTTAGTAAGTTATGTACTGATGCAGATCGACTGATCGACACTTTGAGTGTGTTCTGGAAATAAAGTTCTTTGATTGTGCCACTTAAACAAAGAACACTATGCAATAGGGAAAATCAATTTGACAATCTGACGATACAGACTATGCCTTCAACTGAGTGTAGCTCTTAGTGCATCCCCATGAGAGGAAAGAAAGGATATTAAAAGGTGAATTTTATTAACATGGAAAACTATCTTTCAAACTTTCCCTGATTAATGTCAAGTACCATCTCAACATTAGTTTAAACATACTCATAAGGAATCGCCAAGTGCCAGCTCCATATGTATTTGACATGGAGAGTAAAATAGAAGGGCTGGTGTGAAGGAAGAATACTCACCCAAATGGATATCTGGCCTAGCAGCAGCTGTTGCATCAATAAGGACAATAACTTTCTCATAGTCCAATTCCACAGCATCGTAGACAGTCTGCCGAATGCAATTTGGCGTTTGAACACCTGAAAATCATCACATATATACAGAACAATAAATGCAGCTGCCCAACTTGACATTGGCCAATTAAGCATAAACAAAGGAATTAATATTTGCTCTAAACAAGGTTTTTCCTACATGTAGTACTGAACTCTACAGCATAAACAATGGTGTATGTGCAAGGTATAAAAAGATTGCTGCATTGCACAATTCTTCCGTTATGGATTCACGCTCGTAAGAGCAGAGTTATTGCCACCATATGCATTTTGAAAAGATGAGAAAGGTAAGGAGTCAGAAGAAAGTAATTATACAGTTACACAAAAGAGACGGGTCTTACAGCCACCAATTACCATTCTGACAAAAAAAACAGTAACTTTTATATCAGTCGGTGTGTATCAGTGCTTACCAACAACTACCAAGTTCTTTATTCCTTGTGTTTTAAGAACGGAATCAAGGTGCGTCGCAAAGAAAGCACTAAATCTTGTCTTCACCAACTTGTAGTCACCTTCTTTGATAAAAAGCCCGTCAGCCAGCTCTGCACCTTTCAAACCTTTCACTGTCGGACCCTTTCCTCCAGAATACAAGTGTCGGCGGAAAAGTTCAACATCTCTTCCAGAAGGGTCATGCTCTCTGACAACCTACATAGCATAGTTCACTGTCAATCAATACCCCGGCTCTAAGAATGGTGAAAGTGCTTAGGCATCCAAATTACTAGCCTGCTTTCTAAACCGCACTAGTTTGAGAAGAAATAGGGGAAAGTGTGATTACACAAACAGAGGTTAGCTTGCAGGTTGCAATATTCATGATCAAATTAGTATCACAAAGCATGTTTAGCAGAATTTAGAATGGCGTATGCTTCGGTACAACCAATAGGAAACTGATGCATTACCTTGCACATACTCCATAATGAAGCAAAAGAAGTTATTCCAAAATTGAAGTGCACGCTGCATACTACCAGAATTGAGACCATGCTAGCTGGAGTATTCGTTTTGCATCAGATTTTAATTTTTAAAATAACACCACACCATTACAAACGTCTGACAACACTCAGATTTCTACTTTGTCTAGAAAGAAACAAATAAAGCATACCAACTAGTCAACAACCACTTAATTCACCGACCCTCAAATGCCCTGATTGGAAACTTTGATTAGAGAGAATAATACGACTATTGTGTCACGTCGTTATACATGCTGAAATGTGGAATGCTGTCATGTCATTTGTTGCCCTACATGAAACAGTAAAACACAAAGGGATTTGTTCGAACTTGTAACCAAACCATCTGTCAGCAGTTTTATGATTAAACAAGGACAATCACTTTTATGATAAAAAAATGGTAGAGAAGAAATAGTACTGACATATGTACTTGTGCAAAGCAGGATAGTCAAGAATAAAGAACAAGTGAGTGGATTCTGGAAAGAGCGAAGGTCTCATGCTGCCGCAGACAGTTGTTGAACTTGACAAAAGAAAATAGTGCTAGGAGTACATGGGAAATTGCAAGGCTAATGGAACGGGACCAGCAAAACAGGAACCGTGGTACCACGCCAAGAAGAGATAGAGATTACTTAGAACACGAATTAGAATGGATTGCTCCCAAGAAATCAGAGGCCCGTCTTGCATTGAAAGAAATAATAAGTACTCCCGTATGGCCGTAACTGAGAAGAAGCAAATTAGCAGTAGAAAAGGGGAACGGAATTACCCAAACGACGAAGATGCCGCGCTCCCGCGCCACGGCGACGGCCTCAGCGACGGCGGGGACCACGGCCTCGCCGCCGGCGACCAGCACCGGGCTGCCCATAGCCGGGTCCACGAAATCCTTCTGCAATAACTCACAAGCAGGTCGGTCAGGTGACCCGCCTCAACAAAAACTGGATTCTTTAACAACAAAAAGGAAGGAGGAAGGGGAACGGCCCGGATCGAGGAACGGAGAGCGCGCACCTGCATGTCGATGACGAGCATGGCCGTCTCGCTCCACCTGCCGGCGGCCGCCATGGGTCGGTGCGAGCGCGGCCTGAAGGCGCCGGTCGGGATCCGGGGGATTATGCTGCCGCCGCCGCCGGAGAGCCAGCGCTTGAGGTAGTGGAGGAGGAACTTGTCGAGGGAGAGGAGCAGCACCAGCAGGCACGACAGCAGCGCCAGATGCGAGGGCATAAATCACATCCACGAATCTTCCTCCTTTTTCTTTTATAAAATCTCAGGACAGGAGCACTGTTTGAATGATTTTTGTGGTGTTCTGTGGGGAAGAAATTTGGGGTTCAGGATGAAAAGAAAGAAAAGTGGAGAGGAATTTGGACGCGAGAGAGATGGTTTGGTTGGAGAGCGTGGGTGCGCACCGGTCGCTGCAGAGAGGTTTGACGCCGGTCGTGGAGAAAGGACAGTACTAGAGCATATCTCCGGCAGCCTCTCACATTCCTTGATAAAACTAATAATTATATACGTGCAATAAAACGTTAAATTTAGACTAGATATTAATAATAGGTAAGACATAAACTGCATTTAATAGTATTATGTAGAATATTCCCTGAGGCTGGTCAGGCTGGTCATAGTGGGAGTAACATAGGTAGTAACATAGATGCCACATAAGCAAAAATGATGATGTGGCAAGTAGTTAATGAGGAGAGAGGCAAATAGAGTAACATAATATGTTACCATCACATAGTGGTTTCCAATGCATAATGAGTCTACAAAGTAATAAATGAAGGCAACTATGTTACCACACCTATGACACTACCCACTATAAAGGTAGTAACATAGACTAGTAACATATGTATGTTACTAGTCTAAGTTACTCCCCACTATGACCAGCCACTATGACCAGCCTAAATAAATGTTTGGTAGGATATTAATTTTTTTTGTTAATGTTGATGTTGATGTTAGGCATGATATTAATTACTGCAGGGTGTTAAATGTGTTTGACGCTAAACATTGAAGCGACGCAGACCTTTGGATGGATGTGATTAAATGGGTGAGATTTGTTGGATCTCCGCAACTCGCTCTTTATATATTGATGATATGATGCACATATTGAAAGACTTGGGACAAAAACCTGCTTCGACATACTCCCAATTTTCAATAAAACATGGGGCGTCCCAACAATGAGACGTTCGCTATGAGAATGATGGGAAGACAAAATTTATATACCGTTTGTTCGTTCACATAGAGGTGAATAACGTCTCTAAAGATTTCTTGAAGCTCGTCGATAGATTGAAAACTATGCGGGGCATGAACAACTTTGTGATGACCTTTTTGAGCATTTCTGGACACTCCATGTGCTATAAACTTCTTCACGTTATGTTTTTACTTTACATGATTTGGACCATATGTTATGTTTACTTTAAATATTTGGACCATTCGCTATGTTTAAATTTTAATTTAATTTCCAATACAGTTACATAAATTACGGAACTGGAATGATGTCCACTTATGTGTGTATGAACTATGAAATATCATTAGTTGAATTATTATGGTCACAGAATAGAGATGCATATGTTCTTTGTATCTAAATTTACAAGAGAAATAGAAAAAAAAATATTGGGACTCTGGAAAGGCACCTCGCTTGCAAAACCTTCCTAAATTATGGGAGAACCAAAAAAGATTGGAAGGTGGTTGTTGGAAAGGCTCTTAAGGGCATTTTAAGGACAAACTCTTATTGCCCCCCCTTTGTTTATGGACACGCCTATCCATGTAAATGCCTATTTACGATGGTATTTTTATATCAAGAACCTTATTTAGCTCAAGCAATCCCCATCAAGATAGTCTCAATTTCACTCGTAGATACAAATGTCTCCTGGAAATACATTGGACATGGTTTGAAAGAGAGGTGAGAACCAAAGGAAGGTAGGTGAGCAACATAGATATATAGATGAGAGAAGTAGTTTCGTAGGATTTGGTCATCGACGACCCACGCTTTCGCCCGTTCCTTGGCTTTTATTCTCGGCCCACAGTTCACGTCAGTGACCTTTGGGTTGGGCCGAACAACGCAAGCGATGCAACTAGGTTGCGCCAGGATGGACTTGACAACTTCCCTCCATGAACCTTTTTTATTAACTGGACCACATATTTAGGAGCATGTGCTTCATTGCCACACGCTTGTTCTGAAAGTGCAGCTACGGTTGCAGAATCCAGCATCCTCGCCCTGCTACCATCGCAAACAACTCCAAGACCCGACCTTTGCTGCAAGAACGAACGAAACTAGCGGCGGAGGGATGACATCTAGGATGAGGGCAGCACCACTACGGCGGTGAGACGGGGTAGCGACATAGCTTCGAGGATAATTCCCATTTATCGCGTGCCTCCTTCATGTCAACCTCCTTTTGAGGCCGTGGCCTAGGTATGATCCGATTCAATCCCAGGCTCGTGCTACCGCGGCCTATGGTGGGGGAAAGGTGCCTGGCGGGGTGAAGGGGAAGGGGTTGTGATGGGAGTAGAGCGAGGTCGAGGCAACGGGACGATAACTGGTGGTTCACTGGATTCCTCCGCTCCCAAGGACGGTTGTCATAACAGAAACAGGGAGAAATATGTACAAGGAAAGATGGAAATACGGGAGCGGGTGATTTGTTTTCTCCATAAAATAGATGTTTGGAGAGGAAAAATTTGTAAACTACTGAATGAACAATTGATGGTGGGGGAGCACGAGGGCGAGCATAGGCAACCCGCAACTTGCATTGAAATTGGGAGCAACTACTTAACAAGTGTCCCCCATGGAAGGCACTTTTCCTAGCGCGGGAATGCTCCAGTGCACCACGTGACATGTGCTCGACGGTTCTCCCATCAGAATTGTTTTCTTAGTTTTTCCAGCTTTTTCTTCGGGTTTCTAGTTTTTCTTGGGTTTTTTTTTGGGGGGGGGGGTATGGTTTTCCCAAGGTTTCTGGTTTTCCTTTTTTGGGATTTCTGTTCTTTTACTTTTTGGGTCTATAGTTTTTATTTCCGGTTTTTTTGGGTTTCCAGTTCTTTCTAGTTTTGTGACTTTTTGGGTTTCTAGTTTTTTCGGGGGTTTCCGATTTTTTGGGGATTTCCTTTTTTTGGGGTTTCTGTTTTCCCCATGTTTTGTCTTATTTCTTTGTGCTTCTATGTGGAACACATTCACGTGAGAGCGCAAGTGCGATGCACTCCCATGTGGAGCACAATTGTGCTTCCAGGCAGAGCATGCGTGTGTAGTTGTTCCTAATTTGAATGCTTATGTTATTTACAATTTACATCACTGTCAATCAACATGAACATTTTCTTATGTTCTAATCATTTCTTGAAAATTTTCAACAATTTTGGAATCTAAATTCTTATGACAATTTTACAAACTTGAACACCTTTTAAAAACTGTTAACAAATTTTGAATAATTGATGAAATTTTTGACCACAAATTGCAAACCACGTACTTTTTAAAAACATTAACATTTTTTTGAAACACAAATATTTCTTAAATTTGTGAACAAAAGATTCAAAAAGGAAACATTTTTTTGAAATTCTAGAATATTTTTAAAAAATTGTGAATAATATTTTAAAATAAGTACATTTTTTTAGTATGCTGAACAATATTTCAAATTTCTGATAGTTTAAAAAATATAATAAACTTAAAAAGGGAGAAAAATGAATTAAGGAAAAATAGAAGAAAGACCAAAAATAGAATAAAAAACGCTTAAGCCTTAGCCCAACTAAGCGACTGAATTGCTCCCGTCGGGCCCCTGTTGGGTCTGCCCATGCGTTGTGGATTTGAAAAAAGTTCATCAATTTTGCAGAAAATATTCACGGATTTGAATTTTTTTAGATTTTCAAAAAATTTCACTTAAAAAAGTTCAAAAAATTTAAAAAGATTCACCAATTTGAGAAATATTCAAGAAATTGGTTTTTAATTTTTTTTTAAAGTTCACACATTTGATAAAACAGAAAAATAATGAAAAATCAAAATAAAAACAAAAAAAATCAAAATAAAACAGAACAAAACCTGGTTTAAAATACGAAAAATCCGACCTAAAAGTCAATAATGTTACATTTGACACATAAGAAGAGAAAAAGAAAGCTAGTGTGCACAACATGTAACCTGTCTCATTTGATCACTAGAACTTGAAGTAAACATCAAGGGTTGGAGTTTGAATCTGATCGCCCCTCTCCCATACAGGATCACAAGAGGCGGGGTTCCGGAGGCCTGCTGTCCCTTCTTCCGGTGCACGCTGAAAGGAGGGATGGAGAAGACTTGCTTGGCGGCGCAATGATCTGGAACAGTGGTGAGAAACCATACGAAGCGGCTGCGGCTAGGGTAGATGTCTGCCTGACTATATAGTGCGGGCCGGGTAGGTCGCGAGAGTAAACCCCACGTCCGAGTCGTCACGATCCAAAAGAATCAGAACCGGTTCAGCAATTAACGCGTCCGTTAATTATTAATTAATGACTCATTAATTTTTCCCGAGAAGCAAAAATATAGACAACGTGCATAGCTCTGTCGTCGGCTCGGCTCAATCCCGCAACCTGCGGCGCGTCGTGACGAGGCGTGGTGAGCGAGGAGGAGGAGCGCGCGTGTAGGTCTCCTCTTCTCATGCTCATACAAGTGGTAGAAGAGCTCAACTTATAAAGAGGTGCAACTCTCTCTCAACTTATGAGGTGGGACTAAATTTTAGCCTCACTCACTCCACTCACATGTGTGCATGGATGGGCCAAGAGAATTTCAGAATTTTAGTTGGGCTTTGGGCCAAAAGCCCACTAGCAAATTCCAACAATCCCCCATAAAGTCTCATTGGCTCATCTCACCATTTGGTTCCAAAACATTGTTTATATACAGGTGCTTAGTGGAGACTGTGAAGTTGAATTTCCACTTGGAGATTTATGCTACACTAGATCACAACTTGAATAGTGCACTATGCCTTGAACTACAAGTTTTCTGCGAGACTAGTTTCACACAAATTCTTGACCGATACTGGGCTGCCGCAAGGCTTCCCCGCGGGTGGAGCGTATACGTCGAACTCCAGGGCCTTTTCATGAATTTATTAGGGTACACACAATTCTCACAGACTGCGACGTTAGTAGTCAAATTCATATAGGTGTGTTCCTCAGAAGATGTTCTGCAGGACAACATCTCTGCTTACCCGAATAAGCCACTTGGAACATATTAAGATAAGTATCAACCTGCCATGCAGATCAGGAGAGTATTGCATCTTCATGGA